GTTATTATCCAACATTGTGGGCAACATATTACAAAACAATAATAACCGTAGTTGCTCTCTCGATAGCCTGTCTCGTTATAAACATGTACATATTCATGTATGTCCGTGCTTCAACTCGTCACATTCGGCCGGAAACTCGTACTACACAACTGGATAATAATTCTGCTTCAAAGTCAGGACTTTCTCAACGTGACCTTCACCTGTTACGGCACATGATTTTCATGTTTTGTTTGTTTGTCGGTGGTTGGGATCCTTCTCATTGCAACGTTATTGCTTCTTTCTACACTAAATTCTCCAATCTGATCTCTGACATTCTATTCCTATGGAACACATCAAGTCTTCCTATTCTTCTTCTAAGTTTGTTTTTATACAATCATGAGCTGAGACGTTTCTGGCGTAGTAAACTATTACCTTGCTGTTCTTAATCAGTTTCTATTATTAATGAATATAAATACTTTTTTAAATAAGAGTATCTAAATAAAAACATCTTTAGAAGTCTCTAATCCTAGTAATGGCAGAACGACTAAAATTTTTCTCAATAATTTACACTATTTTCATAGAGAAATGAATAACGTGTGTATTAGTGTCATGACCTTGATGTTCAACATTGTCAGCCAGTCAATTCTATCACAACAGTTCTTTCAACATAAAGGTTTAACGTTGATTCAATAATACAGGCTGATAGCGAATCGAAGACGTTGCATTCAAGACTTTTATGGAATTTGAATGATGTTGTTGAAATATTAGTCTCAATCTTGTTTATTCCTTGAGAAATTTTTGGCGGATTTTGCGTAATTCTAAGCCACAAGATTCTTATTTCGAATCTAGATCATTTCTGTTTTCAAGATATTTAGTGGTTAAATTGGTTTCTTTTCAGAATTTGTCCAAATTTCTACTCAGCTGTTTCTCAATTGAGAATTGACCATTGTTTCCGAGTTTATTCTTGATTTGCCAGGATTCCTTTAGGAGTTAGAATTGAATCAGACGAAGATCTTGACAAGAACTTTCAAGAGTCGTTGACAATTCAACAGCACGGAATTCTGTGAAGCTTCAATTAGGATTTTGTTTCAATTCTTACTAATATTCTTTATCAGCATGTCTTCTAGAGTTAATATTTGATTCAGAAATTCTCAGGATTAAGCGTTTAGGATTGTTACAAGAGTATGGCAACCATGGTCGAAATTTTAAAAAGAAAATATAAGAGTCCAGTTAAAATCTTGGCAGGTTTTTGCTTAGCATCCATTTGGAATCTGATCTTCGGAATCCTCTCAAGACTTATAAATGATCTAGTTTGTAATTTTAGCAAAAATGGGCGAAAGACTTCTTCACCCAGGTTCCGTTGAGCTATCATTTGTAATCTGTTCAAGATTATAAACCTCTAAACACTCGAAGCACTTAAATGACCAATATTGAATGAAATTTCATCAATAAAAAAAAGCAATGTTTTGAGATTGTATTAAGTTCTAAATAAAGAGAAAGTTCAGTTGTAAATTGACAAGATTTTTTTTAGTCTTTCGTAAGATTATTGAATATGCTCTGAAATTTACGTCACAAAAATGAATAAATAGAAATTTTGACCACCAGCAATATGTAAAATTCAAACAAAAATTATTAATTGTCAATAGCATGACACATTTCAGATGGATAATTTAATAGATTCATCAATGGAAGATTCACAAAACCTACACTCTATGTGTCTATATCTTTTGTATTGTTTTGAAAATTTTGCAAATATTGTTTTAAGAACTTTGATACTATCTTGTTAGAAATCCTGCAATATATAATCAGAATTCTTTTTAATTAGGAATTATTGAAATTCTAGCAGAATTCTGATCTTAAGAAAATTGAAAACTGCTCAGGATTCATATAAGATCTTGTGACGAATATCTTGTCAAAATCTGTGATATTTAATAGCTAGATATTTCACTCATGATATACGTTTTGCTGAATCGATTTCAAGTTTAACTATATTTGACAAACTAATTATTAAGGATGACGATAAAATTCTGTTTCAAATCGTATCTAGATCTTGAAATCACTTGTCTACATGCTTTTCAAAACTTAATCATTTCTTCAAGAGAAAAAGGCACATCTGTACATATTGTCCTCATCCGATTCGTCAAGAATTTATTGCAAAAACATCAAAGATTTTGCCTGAACTTTGACAAGATAACATTTTTACATCAATTGGAATGCAAATACCTGTCTTATGTATTATATCTATTTGAGAAATGTTTTTTTATTAGAAAACTATTTGAAAAAAAAAGTAAGTTTCCATTTTCGAGTGAAATTTCAGTAATAACTCCCATTATCAGTATCTAAGTTCACTATAATGTATAAATTCCTCTAGCGATACGAATTCAAAACTATCTCAACTAAATTTTTAGATTAATAATATAGGCTTATGCACAACCGAAAGACAATTGTTTTTTCTTCGCTTTTCATTTAACCACGAATTTACAGAGAAAAAATTAAATGAATATCGTACTGATATTATGATCAGCGAATGTTAGATGCGCATTTATTTAAGATGATACAAATCAAAGAGCGACAAAAAAATTCCAAAACAAAATAATGGGTCAATATGTTTCTAGTTTTAATTAATATTATCAATCAGAGAAATGAGAAATCTCAAATAATACGTTATCTAGTGATAAAAAATGCGATGATAAATGCCAATCAGTATCAAATGCATTAGCAATACTACATCTCATTTGAGTGAAACATTCAAGAAAGAAATTGTGACGCAATGTTTTTCATAAAAAAAAAAAACTCTATTCATCTAAATCTTTTATCTCTTCGGAGAGGGCAAACTATCAAAGAGAAATGAAATTTGTCAGAACTGTGTAATTTTATTTATTTTTTGGATCCAATTCACCTAAAGTTTCGTTCATTGCATTTTTGTCAATTGTAGCTGCTGCAAGTTTAACATGCGAACAAAGCAAAGATGTTTAAAGTACCTAAGAAACATGCGCAAATCACTTAGGCATTGCTTCAGGATAATTACACATTTGTGCGTATCTCGTCATAAAGGGATTTATTTTTAGATTTAACGCAAAATAGATAATACTGCGCTACTGAGAAAGTTCTATAAAAAAATGTAAGAAATTTTAATCTGAGAACAATATAATTGTTGATGTCTCTTAACTAAATTCCTTGATTTTATTTGATTTAAAGAATTTAATGGTAAAATAAATTCTATCAATGATATATTTCATACGCTATTAGTATTGTCTTT